GTGAGAGTGCGTGTGTGTGTGAGTGTGCGATTTCACTTGTGAGTGCGTGTGAGTGTGAGTGTGTGAGAGTGTGTGTGTGAGAGTGCATGTGAGTGTGCGACTTCACTTGTGAGTGGTGCGTGTGTGTGTGTGATTTCACTTGTGAGTGCGTGTGTGTGAGTGTGAGAGTGTGTGAGTGAGTGTGTGAGAGCATGTGTGAGTGCGTGAGTGCGTGTGAGTTTGTGTGTGTGTGAGTGTGTGTGAGAGCATGTGAGAGAGAGCGTGTGAGAGTGCGATTTCACTTGTGAGTGTGTGTGAGAATGTGTGAGTGTGAGCGTGTGTGCGCGTGCTAGTGCGTGAGCGTGTGAGAATGTGTGAGTGTGTGTGAGAGAGTGCGTGTGTGTGTGTGTTTGAGTGTGTGTGTGAGTGAGAGTGTGTGTGTGAGTGCATGTGTGTGAGTGTGTGAGAGAGTGTGTATGTGTGTGTGTCATGGAACATTATTGTTAACATGTTATGTCACAGCACTCAAGTTTCTCACAGGCTCAAATTATTAATTTCTTGTGAACTATTACACAGAAGAGAATGCTTTATTAGCAGTGACATTCACAATCAGACACAAACTTGACATATATCATCATCATCAATCATCTTTATTTGACAAAAGTTGAGAAAAAAAACTTCCCATCATGAACTGCTTAAAATCCTTTTACATAATAAATAGATTCACTGTCCTCCGTATGCTGAGGGCAGAGACTCGGTCTGAACAGGAAGTTCACTGCTGCAGGATCTCATGGTGACGCAGCAGATCAACTGTGGACGTGGGTTAGTTAGTTTAGGAACTGAAAAGCAGAGATTTCCCCGAACCATGTTCATTCAGTCTTGATACGGATCAGGGGCTCCTCCAGGACTACAATAATAATGAGCTACATCTATCAGAAACAGGAAGTGATGTATTCTGTGCTGATGTAGCAGCTGGTTTCCCGTGCCGCGTTTGACAGGAGTGTGTTTGTGAGGTTAACTGCTCTCCCGAGGGTCGGTCAGGGGCAGCGCTGGGACAGACGGGCCACTGCACACCGGCGAGGACATCACCACAGTCTCTGCTCCCACTGTAACAGCCACGGCGGCTTTATGCGAGCAGGCCGAGCAGATGTAGTCTTCATTCTCAGCCATCTCACACGACACACCCACACACACCTGATGAAACCACTCGTCACAGCCGCCGTCACACTGGACCCAGTCCACCTGAACCCAGAGGAAAGCAGACACACAGTAAATGAGACTCTGTCAGACACCAGTCACAGCGGTCTTGTTCAGACTCCAGCAGACCATCACTCACCTTATCCTTGCACGGCCGCTGGCAGTTCTTGGCGGCGCAGACGGCGTTCTCGTCGTTGGAGTCCTCCGCTCCAGACCAGTCATACTTGGAGGGAATGTCCAGAATCTTCCGGCTCTTCTTCTCCAGGCCCTCCTTGGGAAACTCGGCCTTGGCCACCGCCTTCTCCTTCCTCTTGCGCTCCTTCTCCTCTTTAGCGAGACGCTTGGCCAGCTGCTTCAGCTCGCGGGACTTGTCCGGGTTCAGCTTCAGCTTCTTCTTCTTGGGCTTGAGCTCCAGAACCCGTTTGATGTCTTTGGACTTGGATCGTCCCTGCACGCCGCCGCCGGCCAGAAGCAGCTGCTGCTCGGCTCGCTCCAGCTTCCTCTTCCTCTTCCTCTCCACGTCCTTCAGCTTCAGCTTGACGTGTTTGTCCAGCGAAGCGTCCTCAGGCTGCGGGAGCACAGCAGCTTAAAGAGGTCAGTGCGTGGACACAAGAAACACGTGCATGCACAGTGACAGCGTATCTCACCTCCATGACCTGCAGGAACTTGTCTTCTGAGGGCGGGTGTGTGGCCTGCAGGATCCTCCAGATGTGCTGCGTCTCGTCCAGAGACACCTCCAGCAGGTCTCCCTCCATCATCAGCTCCTCCAGCTGGGCCTTGGCCGCCGGCGAGAGCTCCAGCACCGGAGGCTCCAGGCTGCGCGGCACCAGCGGCGTCTTCCTGGGCTGCTTGCGCGGCGCCACCGGATCTGAGGAGGGAACGGAGATCAGGCTAGATCAGGTGATAGATGCTGCGGTACTGGACCCTTCTGAATATAGATATTAGGCTTGCCGCGATAGACGGTGCTGACGGTGAAAGACGAGTGAGGTGAGACGGACAAGAAGAGTGAGGTGAGACGGACAAGAAGAGTGAGGCGAGACGGACAAGAAGAGTGAGGCGAGAGGGACAAGAAGAGTGAGGCGAGACGGACAAGACGAGTGAGGCGAGACGGACAAGACGAGTGAGGTGAGACGTGAAACCGGCCTGCTGAAAGGTCTGGATGTGGCCCTGAGAGTGAAACAGAAGTTAGTCGTGGAGCACTGCTATAATCAGACGTGATGGTGTGGAGTCACGTGCCTGCAGGTCGGGGTTGGCGGCCGCCTTCTGCAGCTCAGCGTTGATGATCTTCTCGGTCTTCTCTCGCGCGGCGAGCTCCACCATGCGCTGGCTGAGCACGGAGAGCTTGGCCAGGGCGGAGGAGAGCTCGTCGGTGGCCAGGGCCTGTCGAGCGCGGTCCTGCCAGCCCATGGCTCTCTCGGTCAGACACTGCAGCGCCTCTCCCTCGGGCAGCCGCACCGGCAGCTTCTGCAGCGACACCAGCAGGGACAGGATGGTCTCCAGCCGCGGCCGCCGCGAGCGCTGGCACAGCGGACACAGGAACTTGCTCTCTTTGCTGCCGGACACCAGCTTCTTCTGCGAGCCGGCTTTGGGCAGCGGCACGCAGGCTCCGTGGAACCAGTCCCTGCACAGCTCGCACTGCAGCATGAAGCCGCTGGCTGTCTTACGGCACAGACAGAACTTCACCTCCTCGATGCGCTCCACCAGGGCCATCTTGGCCAGGTTAGCGGCGCGGAGCGAGTGGATGGCCTCCAGCTCCTGCCACTCTCTGGCTTTGAAGGCGGCCACGACGGCGGCGGGGTCACGCGTGTCCTCCACACTGTCCTCCAGGTCGCTCAGAGCGTCCAGCTCCAGGCCGCGCTCCTTCTCCAGCAGCTCTTTGACACGCTTGCGCTTGCTCTTGCTGCTGCCGTACACGCCGATGTCCACACGCGGACTGAGCACCTGCAAGAGATCCAGCCCGAATGAGTCTCCGGTTCACTCAGCAGCGGACTGTCCTGAACTCACTGGCTGATACTTGTTCTTGTTTTCAGCATAAACTCATGTCATTTTGATCAATTTCTCAGAAAACAAGACTTGTTTTCTTAAGCCACTTTGCTTCTCAAGTAAATGCATCTTGATTTAAGAATATTTAGCTATATGTACTGGAAAACGAGACAAAAAAATACAGAGGACATCATGTTTAGCAGTCCAGAAACCAAGTATGTCATGAAGACATTTATATCCATAAAAATACTGGTCAAAATTTTGGGCACTAAACCAAATAATTGCACATAATTTTCTCCTACATATTCCACTAGTGCAGGGGTTCTCCCTCGAGATCCACTTTCCTGCAGAGTTCAGCTCCAACCTTGATCAAACTCACCTGCCAGTAACTTTCTAGTGATCCTGAACACCTTGATTAGCTTGTTCAGGTGTGTTCAAGGGCCAGAGTTGCCAGAGTTGCACTAATGTGTCATTGTGTAAAACCTGCTGTAAGAGGTGTGTGTGTTCGTCTGTCACCTGCAGCAGGGTGTAGGTGGAGTTCTTCTTCAGGAAGGTGCGGGCGGTTCTCTCTCTCCAGGCTCTAGCAGAAGCCACCTGTGACTCCACCTGCGGCAGAGCCTCTAATCTGACGGGGACGGAGCGTCCTCTCGCTAACAGACCCTCCAGCTGCTCCAGGTAGGCGTAGTTACTGCCGTTCTGCTCATGGAGATCAAGACATGGGTCACATGACGTGCTACAACTGATAAAGCTGAATCAACATTGATGAGATAGTAACAATGATAATCTCTTCCACAGCATTCATGCCCTTGATCTTTATAGAAACATCTCTGAACTAGCATGCGCTGTTCAAACATCATCTCAAAGAGTCACATGACCCTTAAGTCTGCATGTCTTGTGTTTACTCTAAACCTCCAGTTGCCTGTGAAACACGCAGTCACCTGAATGGCCTCCACTTTGGCCGTCCACTCTTTGGCTTTGTGCAGGGCGTCTCTGAGGGCCAGAACATTGGGCAGGTACGCTGGGATATTCTTGGCCTCCATCACGATGCTTTCCAGCGTCAGCAGACTGTGGCGAGGTCTGCAGAGAGTTTACATGTGTCATACTGAGAATGAGTTTCACAACAACCCAAGTACTGCACTATACAGTCATTAATGTGTTTGCTGGAACGTTATCTCAGAGACTGAGCGCGTCTGGAGGTCACCTGGCCTGCAGGCAGGCGCGCGCCCGCTCCTCCCAGTGCTCGGACAGCGTCAGCAGCTCCTGCAGCTCGGCCATGGCCTTCTCCACGGCGTGATGGGGCGGCAGGCCCACGCCCGAGTCGATCTGCCGCTTCATCAGCTCCAGCGTGAGGCGCTGCGGCTCCATCAGCGTCAGCCGCACCTCGTCTAGCCAGCGCGCCTGCTGCAGCTCCTGCTTGAGCCTCGGCAGCTCCGGCAGCTCCAGCTCCAGCCCCGAGCCCAGCTCCAGCAGCGCCTGCAGCTTCCCGGAGTCCGGAGTCTCGTCGGCCAGCGCCGCCTGCGCCCGCTCGTGGAAGTCCTGCACGCTCTCCAGCAGCTCCTGCGGCACACACACACACACACAGGAGGGCACACGTCAGACCATATATCAGAGCTCAGACGGCTGCGGAGGCTCGTGGACTCACCCTGACGTGTCGGGCCTGGCTGATGATGCAGGGCAGGCGGTACAGCTGCTCCACAAACACCTTCAGCTCCTCCACCGTCAGCTTGCTGCCAGCTTTCTGTGCGCTGCTCTCGGGACGCTCTCTTCTTCACACACACACACACACACACACACACTAGGGCTGAGTGATGACACACACACACACACACATATCACACTAGTCAGCGTTCAGCAGTAACTGACCTGTGCCTCTGCTTCTGGCTGAGCAGCAGCTGCGCCACAGACGAGCAGGTCTCGGCCTCCTTCACCGTGTCTCTCAGGCTGCGCAGCAGGCTGTTCTCGGGGTACTTCCTGTCCTCTGCGTCCTCCAGCAGCACCTTCAGCTCGATCAGATCTGTGGAAGCAGAGCCACCCCTTTATAACCCGCAGATGTGGACTAAAGTGGCCACTCAGAGTCGTGTCTGACCTCTCTTGCTCTTGTTATCGGCCGCCAGCGTCTCCGTGACCCTCTTGGCCCAGGTGTCGTAAGACTGCGCGCGTGACTTCACCCCGTAGAGCATGGCAGGAAACTCGTCCTGATCGTACCTGAACCTGAAGCACACGGTAATAAAACTAGGCCTTATAGTTTAGCTTAACCAGTCTGACACGTTAATCAGCACATCAGGCCATCACTGAAAGAATCGAGTGATACAGCGATGTGTAAAGAGTAGTTCACTTCCAGAATAAAAATCCTGTCATCATTTACTCACCCTCCACTTGCTCCAAACCTGCATGAGTTTCTTTCTTCTGTTGAACACAAAAGAAGGTATTCTGAAAAATGTTGGTATCCGAACAGCTGATGAGCACCATTGACTTCCATATCAACAAGTGGAGGGTGAATAAATGATGACAGATTTTTCATTCTGGAAGTGAACCAATCCTGTGAGTGAGAGGGAGCGGCGCAGGTGTGTGGAGAAGAAGAGCAGGCGTACCGCAGGCACTTGTTGCTGGCTGCGCAGCTGCAGAGCTCGGCTGCGTGATGCAGACACACCAGACGCTGCGGGCTGCAGCTGCAGGTGAGCGCAGACAGGAAGCAGGTGGTCTTGCACTTCCAGCACTGCCGCTCGTCATCAGGCACCAGCTCAAACACCTCCTGCTCCGAGCACAGCACCCCCTGCAGGACGGGAGGAGTCACAATCATTTAAGTAGATTGGTGAAATGCTCGCGGCAGTGAGATGCTGGTGCCATGTGAGGCCGGGTCTCTCTCACCGTCTCCTGCACAGCTGCTCTCAGTCGGCTCTCCTCCTCGATCATGTCTCCGAGCTCTCGGACCACAGCCGCCGCCAGCTCCACGTCCAGACTCTCCGGATCGGCCGCCATCTTACACACCATCTCCTCATGGGAGAAGACGCAGTAGCGCTGCAGACGCCGGTAATGCGCCACACACTGCCTCCCGATGGGCAGCTGCACAACACACACGTATATGTCATCACACACATCTACATACAAACACAGCAAACCACACGCTGAAGACCTGCTGAAGATTCACTGTGGCTCTAGAGGACGCACCCAGTCTGCAGTGCAGAAGTTGACTGCCTCAGCAAAGTTGTAGCCTTGATTGAAGCCGCTGTGATAGGCTCTTGGGAAGGTGACGACAAACTCTCCCGCGCACTGATTGGTCCGGTACACCTGCATGATAATGAGGCCTGTCAGTGACTGCTGAGGAATATCTGTCAATAACACTGTCCTAAAATGCTGCTGCCAGGGGTGAAATATCTCATCTCACTGTTCATTTCTTAAGCAAGTGTTAAGCTGGTTTGCCGGTGAGCAGCAGAATGCAGGGCAGATGCAGAGGAGGCCGTACCGGGACGCCGTGCTCCATGAGGAGGTTGGGGTTCATCAGGGTGACCAGCTGATGCAGGAGGTCCGGCTGAGAGTCGAAGAGCTCCGGAGCCACTTTCTTCATGACGGACTCCAGCTGCTCGGCGGCGTGTGCTGGAACGCCGTACCAGGTCTTGGGCTCGCCCCTGATCAACAGACACATACACGTCACTCGTCTCAGTGTCTCAGGCGCTGAACATCAGCACGAGTGCGCAGGACTCACCAGTGCAGGTAGTTGATGGAGTAGCTCCAGTGGTCCTCGATGTGCCAGCAGAAGGACGAGAAGCACATGCCCACGTACAGCCAGGGCACCTTCATGCCGCTGATGTCCCCGCTGATGTGCGTCAGCACCGACTGCTCCAGCACCGGCATGTTGTTCAGGTTCCAGCCCGAGCTCGCGTACTCCTGCGCACACGACATCACCAGTGAAATCGACACTCGCGTGAGAATCAGGAAGACCCGTCTATGGTCATATCTCACCACAGAATCACAAGAGAAATAGAGGAAACACACACATATATGTGTGCGTGTATAACATGAATAAATGAAATTTCTTCATGCACTAGTGTGAGATGCAGCTGTATGAAATGAAGCATCTTACATCCTCGTCGCCGATGAGTTTTCTCTTGCCGTCTCGCACTGGGAATCCGCTGCCCATGTCTTTGGAGCTGATATCAGCGCCGTACTCCACGATCACGTCCTCCTCGATGCTGCTGACCAGACGCCAGAACTCCTTCTCCACCAGCTCCGTGGGCACCATCTGACACACACACACACACACACTCAGCATGTTTACATGTGTTAGCGCTGCACTCTGAACCCAGAACTCTGCTTTAACTCTTGAGAAGCGTGTACAGGGTGTCTACAGATATGAACAAGTTAAATTTAAAACTTTTTAAGACCTTTTTAATACCACCTTATGTGAAATTTAAGACCAAACCTGTGATGGAAATACACATTATATTACATAATGTTTGTTCTGTGAGTTTCTTTATGCGTGTCGTTACGCTCATTTGATTTGATTTCTCCATGAAAGTCTCTCACAGAGACAGGCAGCACGAGCCTCAACAGCGCGACTGTGACGAGTGTGGTGGGGCCGAGAGCAGTGGGAACGGAGCGGGGCCGGTGGAGTAATTGATAATGAGCGACACCTGCGCCACTCACCGGTCTCGAGTCCCACGGTGGAGCTCCGGAAGGATAAAAGGAGGAATTATGACAGTGAAAGACGAGAGAGGACCAGGCCTGGACTTTATTTTGTGCTTTGGTTCTGTTTGTGCGCGGCAGTCGTCCGTGAGGGGCTATCGCGCTATTCTGTGTTTATTTTATTATTAAAGTTTTCTTTGAACGTTCGCCGGTACCCTTCCCGTGACTACGAACGTTGTTACAGCGACATTGATAATAGAAATACACTATCAATTATCAATCGCTGTTTAAGCTGAATGTAATAAAATCAGAAGAATCATTCGCGCGTTTTGATGCGTGATTATTTTTTGTCACTTAAGTTTTAATCAGGCTATTAGTAAGTAATTATAAGTACAATTCTCAAGCCATTTTTCAGTAAACGTGCATGAACCCATTTAAAGTAGTTCGGAGGCTGGACAGCGAGCTGGTGTTCGACTGTGTTCTGTAACCGCAATTCTCTCTGATGACGCAGTAACTACAGCAGGGGGGGAATGTACTCTTGATGGACACTCACTGGGTCCGTTAGACTGGAGAAATGTTTGTGGTAATGTGACCAAAAATATTTAAGACCTACTGAATCTGAATTTAAGACATTTTAAGACCTTTTTAAGGACCCGCGGCCACCCTGGTGTAGACGCTCTTTACCAGGCACTTACGTGAACAGGCATGTTGAAGTAATCAGACTTGAAGTGGTCGGCCATCTCACCGAAGCTCTGGAGCGTGTACTCGCGCACGGCCTGCTCGAAGCCGAACGCCTCGCGAGGCTTGCTGCACTCCTGTGTGACGGGAGATCAGTGCATCACAGAGGAGCATTCGTTACAGCATGTGTGTGTGTGTGTACTGAGCTGTGAGGGCGGCCGTACCTCCGCCACACACTTGGGGCAGCGCCAGTCTCCTTTGGGCACGTCCTGCAGCGGCGGGATCAGGCAGAAGGTGTGGTAGCTGTCATCACAGCCGTCACACAGCAGGAGGCGGTCCTCCTCGTCGCCCCGCCCACACGCCATGCACATGTACAGGTCGATCTGTCAGTCACACACACAGAGTCCACTACTAGCGATTAAAGAATCAGAGTGTTTTAGATCTAAAACACACAGAACACACGTGTTTTCCCAGGTGAAAAAAGTACACTTCCATAATGTACTTAAAGTGCTCTATTTTTGCGCACTAATTTTGTACTTAATATATTAAAAATCCGTCTTTAGTAGTACTTAAGATAATCTTAAGAACATCCAAGTGTACTCAACTGTGCTAAAAATGTATTTAAAAAATGTATTTAGGTACCACTTGAACCCATCTTTGTATGAAAATTTACTACAGGTGGTAACGAAATAAATTTTTTTAATACAGCGATAATTTGTTAAATGCACATTTTAGTTCATATACATGGTATCTCAAAAAAGCACAGTTGAGTACAATTAGATGTTCTTAAGAAGTACTAAAGACAGATTTTTAATATATTAAGTACAAAATTAGTGCGCGAAAATAGAGCACTTTAAGTACATTATGGAAGTGTACTTTTTTTCCCACCTGGGTTGCTCAAAAACTTCAGAACAGAAAAGAGCGCTGAGTCTAAAGATGTGTTTTGAAATGATGAACTGCTGACTCTGAAATACTAAAGCGTGGAGTGCCACAGGGCTCAGTATTAGGTCCTTTACTCTTCTCCTTGTACAAGCTCCTCTTAGGGGATATCATCACGAAGCATGGCATTAGTTTTCACTGTTTATGCAGATGACTCTCAGCTCTATATTTGCTCCAGACCTGACAAATTTGACAAGTTAGGAGACTGAATCTGTATTGTCAAAAACTGGATCTCAGCTGCATGATTGTTTATATCCTTGCACAATGTAATTTTATTATCATCCAGCTGTAATCTGCTAGATGTGACTGTAAAGCATGAATATATTATGAACATTAACGAATTATGAAATGATGCGTGTTGTGAAAAGTGTAAAAAAAATGTACTGGACACAGAATCTTAGAAAGGTGATGAATGAAGAGCTGCATTCATGACTGTAACGGCTCTGCTGATGAATCTCATTACGTATGTATCTGGCAGACGCTTTTATCCAAAGTGTCTCACATTGCATGGGTTATCTGACAAGACGGGTTAGTGGAAATGAGCCAAAAATCACATCACTAGTTTGTCTCCAAAAAATCTAGATAATTTCCCCAGCAATTCTTGGACATCAAGTCAGCCATTGTGATGTTAATAAAATAGTGTTCATGTTAAGGAAACGGATCCATTGGGAATGAGTGTAATGGGTCTGATTGCTGGAAGCTTCTGATTCCACACAAACATTCTGGACAGAGATGTTGACTTAAAGGTGTCTCCTGGTTACAGTTTGTCCCTGTATTCGAATGACGGAGACACATTAATGCAGATCTTTAAGTGTAAACAGCAGAGAGGCTGCGCCGCAGGTCAGATACAGAAGTATAACAGGCCTTTTAGTGCAGTTTGTACTGAACAATGTAAAAGCTCAAGCACAGGAACACATTTATAATGCATTATGACACACAAACTTCATACTCACATAATTGACCTCCAGCACCTCCTTGCGCGGACGCATTTTAAAAGCAAACGCCTGAGCCCTCATGTGCTTCTGTTTCCTGAGGAAGCCCTCGTCATCTGGACACACACACACACACAGTCTCACACGACGCTGTCTGCTGAACAGCACTGCTGTCTGCTACTGAACCGCTGAACTTCTCACCTGCTGCCATGATGTCTAATCTGAACACCTGCACGGCTTTGGGCTCCGTGTTTTCTCTCTGAGACACACAAACATCACATCAGCACAGGCTCAGAGGACACATTCAAATACATGCTGTTCTTTTGAGCTTTCTATTCAAAGAAGAGTGTCTGTATGAGGCCTGACAGAGAAACTAACCTCGTCCTTGAGCCGTCGAGGGGAACGTCTCTCCGCTCGGCTCTCCTTCTCTTCATCCTCATCTGCGCCCTCTTCCTCTCCACCTCCAATGCCTTCATCCACATCCTCGGTGTCAGGGGCTTCTGGGTAAAGCCTGTGAATGCTCTACACACACACACACACACGTCAGGAGTGACACGAGACACACGTCATCACAGCAGCTGCAGGAGTCAGACTCACGGTCAGCGTCACTCCGGTCTGGAAGAGCTCATACGGATACAGGATCCGCTCGAAGTGAGAGCGCAGCAGTGACCCCACACCTTTCCCGGCTGGAAAACCCATGCGACTGCTGATCCTGGACCAGCGTTTCTCCTTACAGACCACCTCAAAACCTCCTTCTGCAGACACCAGCTGCCAGAACACAGAGAAGAGATCAGACGTGTGCCGTTCCCTCTTCAGCGCAGCATTTGCTCATCCTGTGTTAGATTTTACTGTGTTGTATCATTAAATAACGTATTTACACACAAATGTTCAATGTAGTAACAGCCTTAATAAAAACAATAAAACACAAAGTTCAAAAGCTTGGGTTTGGTAAGAGTCTCTTCTGCTCATCAAGGCTGCATTTATTTGATCACAAATACAGTAAAATCAGTGAAATATTATTACAATGTAAAACTGCTGTTTTCCATGTGAATCTCTGTTAAACTGTAATTTATTTCTGTGATCAAAGCTGTATTTTCAGCATCATTACTCCAGTCTTCAGTGTCACATGATCTTCAGAAATCATTCTAATATGCTGATTTGCTGCTCAAGAAACATTTCTGATTATTATCAATGTTGAACACAGTTGTTACAGGATACATTTTATTTTTCAGGATTCACAGAAGAATATAAAGTTAAAAAGAACAGCATTTATTTAAAATAGAAACCTTTTGTAACAATATAAGTCTGTACTGTCACTTTTTATCAATTTCACACAATCCTTGCTGAATAAAAGTATAAATTTTTTTCTTTCA